CACCCTCCCACGCCAACTGCAACAGGGTACACAAGCGAGCACCAAAGCCCGGTGGCTCCGGTGGCTCGGGGGCTGGGGTGTGTGCCCTGCGGGTCGCCCCTGCGCTAACTGGAAAAAGATAGCCCCAGGTGGGAGGAACACAGCCTCACCAAGCGAGTGCTCAATAAAGGTGATGCCTTTGTGACATTTAGAAAAGGCGCCCTTCCTCTGGGGAGAGTTGGTCGGAGCCAGGGCCCGTGGCCTGACCAGAAGGAGCAGGTCAGCAGTTCAGTGTCCCTTGTGCAGAAAAACCTGCACACGACTGTGCGGTGGCCCTGGAGGTGGGTGGGGTGGAGAGAAGGGCCTGCAGCTCCACCCCGGCTACAGCAGGCAGAGTGGGGGTCCCCCATCAATGAGCTCAACCCCTTCTTCCACTGAGAGAGGCAGGCACACTGCTCTACCAAGAAAAAGCTCATGCATAAAAGATAAAATCTGAAGAAACAGCAGTTTTAGGAATGTCTCTGTAGACCACATAAATGTGCTGGTTATATGAAAGTCAAACACGTTCAGCGTTTCAAGTTTCCTTTCTTATTTCGCTCGGGTATTTGAATATAAAGGTTTCGGTAAAACACGTTTAACTCTCTGAGATTCATACCACATAATCCTCCATTTTGATATGGCCAAATACTGTAAATCCTCTCTTAACGTCATAGATAGATTCTTTGACTTTAAGCTAAACCGCATATAATGAAATCAATTTTACCACAGGCTAACTGATATAAAGAGTTACGTTTCTACAGCATCTCATCAACACTCTAATGAAACAACAATGAACTAAATGAGGTTGAGGACCTGCTGTATTCTAACTCTGGTACTTGCAACAACACACTCACAATTAAATGCAAATTACCTTTTACACCACCAAATGATCCATAAGTCATATTGCAGGCCGTTCTCTGAAGGTGATGTTCATACATCAATTTGATCTGATATTGGTTCCCATGTTCCACATTACCCAAGGTTCCTAGGGAGAAAAAAAGTAAAAGGATTGCTTTGTATTTGTTTACATTTAAAAATATTAATTATTCTCATCCTCTACATCGATTTTAAGTAATTCCACTTCAGTAAAATTCAAAGTGACAAAGCGCTAAAACACTGTGTATTATGAACAATTCTAATGACACAGAATGTCAGGACAGTTAAAACAACTCAGTCTCAGCTAGTTACACCGATTAGATGAAACACAGCCCTGGGTGACAATTTATTATCTATTTCCATCAGGTCTAAGTAAAGTGTAATTATTTACATAACAACAAAGCCCTCCAATTTCAGTTCTGAAGTAAATGAGGTTGAGTTCCTTGCACTTAGAAACAATACGGCAAAGACATGATGCAAGGTGTCTAAGAAAAAAATTCCCCACACTTTCAGGCAATTCAATTTTCTGTCTCAACTCTCAAAATACTCCAGCCCTAATGCATTACATTCTAACTTAATGGAGAGATCTTCTAAAGCAGCGGTTCTCAACCTTCCTAATGCCGCGACCCCTTAATACAGTTCCTCACGTTGTGGTGACCCCCAACCATAAAATTATTTTCGTTGCTACTCTATAACTGTAATTTTGCTACTGTTAAATATCGTAATGTAAATATATTTTTGTTTTCCTATGGTCTTGGGCGACCCCTGTGAAAGGGTCGTTCGACCCCCAAAGGGGTCGCGACCCACAGGTTGAGAACCGCTGTAATCTAAAGCTTCTCTCAGCAAGTAAACAGGACAGTATGTTTTATTTGAAGTCTGCCAAGAATCTCCTTCAAAACAAAGAAAAATACTTTCTCTGCACTTAGTAGATCATATTGCTACAATCACTTTTTAGTTCTTCCCAAATAAGAAAAGATGCCTTATCCACATTTCACTCTCCGGTCGTTAGGCTTCCTAGAGTGCTGACAGTTGGAGCTACAGCCCAGTGATCACGCAAGAATGTTTATGGTTGAAAAGAGGGTTTTGAAGGAAACAGGATTCAGAATACAACTTTATCCATAAAGAAGCACCTTTGTCATTCATTCAAAAGTGCAAAAGTTAAAGAAAAACATAAGAGATCATAAAGCAAATGAAATAGTTCCCAAACTGTAGTGCATTAGATTATTAACATAATCTAAATGTATATGTCTGTCTCTATGGATGTGTATACAAATTTATACATGGGCATTTTTTTGTTTTTTGTCCAAAAGGAGTAACCAACATAACCCGAAGCTGTATGAATAGAAATATTTCTATTTCCATGGTAGAACTGAGATACCTTAAGTTCAAAACAATAAGACATTTCCCCCCAAATCACACAGCTGGCAAAGGACCCAGGACTCAGACTAAGTCTTTAGAGCCAGCCAGCACTGTCTCCTAGTACCAGGCTGTCCATCATTTAACAGCCTTCAGGGAACTTGGCAAATGACAATTTCCCCAAAGAAAGCAGAATGAAAGAACGTGTCACGTCCACCTCCACCTTTCGCAGCCTGGCCTTCTCGCCCTCATGTGGAAGGTCGAGGGTTGAAAGAGAAAAACTAACAGGGGAGAGTTTCTTGGAGGAGAAGCACTTCTACTCAGATCTACGCCCGTGAACGTGGTAACAATAGACTTTACATACCAACAGAATGAAAAACAAAGAGAAAGACTCAAATTTGCCAGCTAACCCTGATAGCAGGTGAAAGCTTTCTGGAATCTAAATGGTATTAAATTCAGTAAGGTCCAGGGCAGCTAAGGGGTCAACACAACCATCCTAGCCACATGGGCAAAAAAAAAAAAAAAAAACACCACTAAGTCAGTAACTCACAAAGGAGAGACAGTGCTAGCCTCCAAGAAACATTCAGTTTGTCCCTAGAGAAATTACAAATTTCATTCTGCACCTAAAACCAGACTGGCCCCTCTGAGGAAGCAGTGCATTTACACACGCCTGCTCGCTGGAAGGCTGGGGAACAGAGGGGTCGGCGGGCAATGTTTAAGCAAACTTGGCATGAAATGACACTGACCTGTGTTCTGAAAAAGTTCCACACGCACTGGCAAATTTTTCAATTTCAGCTGATGGTACTTTAAAACTTAGTAGTGCAATTATGGAGAAAAAGAGACAATTTATTTTATCTTCCTTAAATACCACCCTGGAATAAAGGTAGTCTCTGAAAAGCTAGAATTTCTGGCCTTTTTTTTTTTTTCCCTAGAGAAGCATCAATGGCATAAGATTAAAAGTCCTGGGCCAGCTGAGTGGCGCATTGGTTAAGAGCTGGCCTGGGATGCCAGAGGACCCCTGTTCGGATCCCACATATGAGGGCCAGTGACACTGCCCTCCACAGCTAAGATGCTGAACAACAGCTCAACCTGGAGCTGGGCTGCCGTGAGTCGCCGGCGATGGCGTAGGCTGCAGCCCCTGCTGCAGTGGGTTGCCATGGGCTACCATGTGTAGCCAGCAGCCAGCGTGAGCGGCCAGCAGCCGCAGTGAGCGGCCGTCCAGAAGCCGACGACTGATCTGCCTCGCCCGGGAAGAGCGCAATGATGGTACCAACTTGGGCCAGTGAAGCCACGTCCTCCACAACTAGACTGAAGAACAAAACGACAGCAACTTGTCTGTTCCCCTTCCCCCAATTCCCCAGCGCTGTTCCCATCCCCTAATTCCCCAATAAAAATCTTTTAAAAAAAAGTCCTTACATAGGTTTTGCCCTTGGATATACAGACTGAATATAGTAAGTGTATGTCTACATATAGCTGAAGTTAATATAGCGCTTCATCAGCCAGAAAGTAAATGGATATTAGAACATTTGTGCTGTTAGCCTCATTTAAACGAGATCTGATGTGTACCAAAAAAAAAAAAGAAAACAGGAGGGGGCCGGCCAGGTGGCACGTTGGTTAAGAGTTGGCTTGGGACACTAGCTCTGAACAGCAGGGCCCCAGTTCAGATCCCACATGAGGGCCAGTGACGCTGTGCCCTCTACAGCTAAGATGGTGAACAACAGCTTGACCTGGAACTGGGCTACCGTGAGTCGCTGGCGACAGCGTAGGCTGCAATGGGGCTGGCCGGCAGCTGGCATGAGCTTTCGTGAGCTTTGGTAAGCCACTGTGAGCAGCCGTCCAATGGCCGGTGAGCGACTGCCTCACCCGGGAAGAGCGCAGTGATAATACTAACATGGGCCAGTGAAGCGACATCCTTCACAGCTAGACTAAAGAACAAAAGGACAGCAACTCATGTGTTCCCCTTCCCCAATTCCCCAATGCTGTTCCCCTCCCCCAATTCCCCAGTAAAATATATTTTTTTTTAATCTATGGAAAATCAAAGCTCACCTTGACAAGTTTCTGGTGCAATTTTAGATAACTACTGAGAAATCTAACGCTGTTCAATGAAATCAAAGCCATTACAGAGTAAGTTAAAAGGCTCATTATGTGAAATAACCAAATTAGATTATATAAGCTTGTCGAAAGTCAAGAACCATATGTTTTTGCCCTCTCATGGCAAACATTAGAATTCAATAAATATGTCAAATGCTTAGTAAATGCTTGTTGAGAAGTATACAATTTTTGGAAAAGAATATATAAGAGAACATAATCAGTGTGGCTTAAGCTCACACATCTGTAACCAGTTATTCCGAACCTGAAGCCTATCAGAAAGGAATCTGAGATGCCATGTGACGTTTTTTCTGTACCCGAGTATGATAAGATGGGGTAACTTCAGGTCAGCAAGACCCTGCTGTTTCTCTATATTTAGCATGCTTTTGATGACAGATCACCCACCAAAAAGAAGTCATCACCTTAGCCTCTGACTATTCAGGGGTGTTTGGTGTCTCCAGGGGGTCTCCTCTAGTTTATCTCAAATCTTTTTTTAGAAACACACAGCACATTAAAGGAAACAAAAAAATATATGGGAAGGGGGGGCATTTGGGGGTAAGGATGTCAAGTTCAGCTGACACTTTCATCTGCGGACACCAGTGGTTTTACTTAAACTAGGAAATGTTTCTGCTTCCCCTGTTACAGTAAACGCTAGGTAAAAGTTCAGTCTGGAACCTCAAGAAACATTTTCAAGAGAACCAAAACATTAACTTCCCTGCTTCTCCATTTAAGCCACGCCAGGAAAAATACACAAATTGCCAGACAACGAGTATTCTAAGAGACTGAAGAAATGAGAGACAGAGAAGGGAGCAGAGGCGGGGCCTAAGGAAATGGGGTTTGGACAGCTCCTCACCCCCAGAGAATACAAAGCTTCTAAATGAATACAAAGCATAAAAGAGCGGTAAAAATCCCCATTCCCGTAACACATCGTTTTCATTTTCAGCACTAATTTGAAGGAGGATACCCATGTCTCAGAAACAAGCTGTGAGCAAACGTGCCAGTTTCTTTCCGTAGGCTTTTTTGATACATACATTCATCCCTAGTCTAGGTCCTAGGCCGGAGTGGAACTCTCCGGGCTTCTGTCTTTCTGAGCCATTGTTCAAACGGGACCAGGGAAGGCCAAGAGTCGAACCTCATCTCTACTTTCTATGATGCTTCTGTCTCCTGCCCTCTTAGAGCTCATGGAGCCTCGAGAAGGGGCCGACGCTCCAGGAAATGTTCAGGGCGAACCATGGGCAAGCTGTCCTCCTCCGTGGCCTGTGACACCCAGCTAACCAAATATCACTCACAGTGAACAGGCTTCTGATGGGAAACAGGAACAACAGACTCATGCAGGTAGGCAGCCTGCATCATGCCTTCTCCACTTCCCCTGGAACACTAAGTACTTGCCCTGTCACTAGGGGGAGCGCTACCCTTTCCTGGGGAACCAATGAGCGTGTTTAACAGTGACAGTGACAGGCACCACAAAGGGCCTCCGCTGTGGAGAGTGGAAAACGGAGTGATGGCAACAGAGAAGGAAACGAAGGAAGAAAACAACACGTAGGCAGTAAGAATGAGCCAATTGCCTCAGCACTCTCCAGAAATTAGCTCACTTATTCAGTCAACAAGGATGCCTACCATATACTACATGCCAGGCTGCCAAGCCCACCAGCTGATGAGTCTGATGTTCTTCACCCTGGAAAGAGCCTGCCTAAGAACATCCAGCTCAGTGACAGTAAATACGAACCATCATTCAAAAAGCAAAAGACAAAGAAAGCCCAAATCAAGAGAATTAGCATGAAAAATCCAAATCCTAGAAGCTATCATTTACAGCAAACTGCAAAGGAGAGTATCGTTTGAATAGGGAATAGGCCCACAGACTCTTGGCTTCACTGCAACCATAAAAAATTTCCCCAGTATTGATATCCACAAAAACAACTCAATTTGAACAAAAACTTATCTAATAACTGAGACAAAATTTTTAAACTTACCTTTTATATTTAATAAGGGCCCAAATGCTGAAACTACACTACATTTAGCCACCCTACTTGGACCCACAGGGCAGTGTCAGAGAGTGAAACCTAATTAAGCCTCACAGAAGTGCCTTGAGGTCTGGTTGAGTCAGGACAACCCAAAGTGGGAACTGTAAAGAGAAGACGCTTGAGGTTCACCAAAGAAAAGGTACTTTAAACCACTATGACTCAGCCTCTAAGGAGTTTTGTTGTGGCTATTGAACATTTCTTAAGACTCAAGTGTCCTAAGTACCCAGACTTGGCCTCTATTAGTCAGAGGCAACGCTGGACACAATTCCTGGGAGGAAGGCGATTACAAGGAACCTTCTGCTAGAAATCTCAGTGTGCAGGAAAACAGCAGACCAATAAAATGGAATAGCCTATGTATCTGGAAGGGCAGATGAAAGTGGGAAAATGCTAACCAAGGTAAGAGAAGCTTCAACCTAATGTTTCGTGTTCTCTACCAAGTCAACGTTAGAGAATCTCTATTATTTTGTAATATTAAGAAGCTCAGTTTTTCATACATACTCTACATGAGAAAAAACTGTTTCTTACCTGAGACGGAGTAGACACAAAGTTTTCTAGAATGCAACACAGCCAAATGAAGCATTTCAGTACCTCTGAAAAATGGGGAAAGTTTTAAAAGTTTAAATATTAGTTTCAGATGTAACCAAAAAAAAAAAATTCAGAATAGTTTTTAAAAGGGATTATAACCACCACCTAGCAAGAGTAAACTAAACAATTCAGTAGATAACATTCTAAACTCAAAAATAAAGGCGACATGAGGCAGCAGGTGTGACAATCCCAGAGGCTCAAGAACACTGAATCAAGGAGCAACCTTCAGGTTGAAGCCCATGGAACCTTCCAGAAAGGGTCACCTCAACTCTGCCACAATAAAGGGATCCCTGTCAGGTCCTGACTCTCTGCTAATTCACCTGCGACCTTAAGCAAGTCACTTACTCTCTCTGAGCCTGTTTCCTCTTCGGGAAAATAAGAGGCTTCAGTTAAATGAAATAAAGTCATATGAACGCACTTTGTAAAGTATAAAGCGCTACAGAACGCTAACCATTATTAAGTGATGGTAATGATTTACAATGGCTCTTAACACAGCTCTGAAATCTTGTTACAGGTATTGAAAATATTTCAGTTTGCACTGAAACTCAAATGGAAATAAACAGCCACTGTCATCACTTCACTTGCCAGCCCCTATCAAGTGATTTCCAGAGACAAGGCACAGTCTAGAAATGCTCAATTCCAAGTCTTCAAGGGCCATGACAGTGGATATGAATGAGGAAAGGGCGTAAATGGCTGTGATGAACTGGAGGCAGGGCCAGACTAAAGGGGGCGAATACTACTCAATGCGGGGCTTGTGGCCAAATCGCCACTTTCCGCCCTCCCCACCCCCCTGCCCCCGCAAGAAAAGCCAGAAGAAGGCAGGGATTTTATGTGAAATCTCCTGGTTCTTAAATGTTAGCAGCTCTTTCCAATGTAAAACACATCTGCGAGCAGGCCTCCGGTTACAACCTCTGTTCTACAGACTCTGTTCTAAACTAGAAGGGCTGTGATGGAAATCTGAAGCCCTGGGTTAGGGTCCTGACTTTGCACCTTGATATTTGTATGATTGTTTAATCTTTCAGAGTATCAGTCTCTCATTTACAAAATTAGAATTATATTAGATATTACCTGCAAAACATTGTTACAATGAATATATACTCACCACTCGCTCCACTACCAGAAAATACAAATATACACAAATATCACATAATCAGCATTACCTTCAAAAAATTGTATATGTGCCCTGAACACGCAGAACAATTTTTCCACAGGAAAAGAACAGATGCCATGGAAAGACAGTCAAGTGTGGCGTCAGGCAGACCTGGGTCTGAATCCTGGCTGTGTGAACAGCTAAAGCTCTGAGCTCCAGCCCGTTTCCTTATCGCTAAACGCAGATCACATCTTATAGATAAGATTAATGGGACAGTACTAGTTAACAGCAGCACAGTATCCACTGACGAATGTTCAACTTCTCCCTTACAACAAGTGATCGCAGCGACAAGGCCACACTTAGGACTACTGCACAGAATGAGTGTGACAGCATTTCACTTTTGAAAAAAACAAAAAGGTAAAAATGCTTTTTAGAGGCAAGAATCCTTCTGTCTCTTACTTCATAAATCCATCGTGTCTAACACATGCTGAGGACACAGTGGGCACCCAGTCATGAGCAGCTTTTAGATGGAGCAGATATTTACCAACCACGTCTGTCACAAAATCTCCCCTCTCCGGCCTGTCAGAGTGCACGCAGGGCCCGTTTTGTGCCCTGGCCTACAGCATCCATGAAGTGGCTTCCCATCAGAATGAAACATACCACAAGAAGAAGGTTAAGGGTCAGGAGTGGTTGCTCAGGTTTTTCTAGCAGGAGTCAGGGCCCCAAATAAATGGGAGGTGGGATGAATAAATTATGATGAGTAAATGGAGTAAGCCAAAATCCACAGCTCAAGGGCACTCCCAGACTTAAAGCAAAAGGGGGCTCAAAAAGCAGAGTCAGGGGCAAACAAGCCCACCTCTGCCTACATAACTTTTCACAATGGGTACTCTTACAAAAGGTTACGAAACACAGGCTTACATAAGAAAGAATGAAACACTGCCATTTGCGACAACATGGATGGATCCTGAGAGTACGAGGTGTAATAAAAAAATACAATGAATGTTTAAATTTTTTTTTAAAATGTATTACAGAGGCTGGCGGGTGGCTCAGTTGGTTAAACGCACAAGCTCTGAGCAACAGGGTCACCAGTTCGATTCCCACATGGGCCAGTGAGCCACGCCCAAGCTGAGCTGCCGCTGAGATGCCAACGGGTGGCAGGATGGCTCAGCTGGTGAGAGCACATGCTCCTAACAACAAGGTTGTCTGTTTGACTCCTGCATGGGATGGCGGGCTGCGCCCCCCCATAACTAGATTGAAAGCGGCGACCGGACTTAGAGCTGAGCTGCGCCCTCCACAACTAAGACTGAAGGAAAACAACTTGACTTGGAACTGATGGGTCCTGGAAAAACACAATGTTCCCCTTCCCCAATTCCCCAACAAAATCTTTTTTAAAAAATGTATTACAGTAAAAGACACATTGCTATTTAATCCCCCTCAAAATATGCCCCTTCACTTCAAACATGCTTATCCCATCATTCTTGCCACTTTCTGAAGCAATTGTGGAAGTCCTCTTTTGTGTCTTTACTTCATCCCCCAACGTGACAACGCTCCGTGTCACACATCGCTTCTAGTATGGCAATTTCTGCCAAATAAAAACATTACGGTGTGTCCTCATCCACCTTATTCATCAGATCTGGCACTGTGTGACTTCTGGCTCTTCCCCAAAGTCAAGGGATTCAGGACATCAAGGCAGCCACGACAGCACAACTAAAGACACTCATGAAAGAGGACTTCCAGAACTGCTTCAGAAAGTGGCAAGAATGAGGGGATATAAGAGTGTTCGAAGCGAGGGGGAGTATTTTGGGGGGGATTAATGGCAATGTGTATTTTACTGTAATACATTTTTATTTAAACAGTCACCATATTTTGATCACACCTCGTATCATGCTAAGCAAAGTAAACAAGACAGAAATGGACAAGAACCATATGATTTCACTCATGTGGGATATAAAACAGAAAGCAACAAATGAACAGACAAACTCAAAGGCACAGACAACAGTATGGTGGTTACCAGAGTGGGAGGGAGGTGGGGGAGGATGAAGAGGGTAAAGGGGGTCAAATAAATGGTGATGGAAGGAGACCAGACTTTGGGTGGTGAGCCCACCATGTAACATACAGATGATGTGTTATAGATTGTACTCTTGAACCCTATATAATATTATTAACCAATGTCACCCCAATAAATTTAATTTTTAAAAAAAGGAATACAGCTTAATTTTAAAATTCATGTATTAAAATAAGATAAAATCAGGAATATCATCGGTAAATAAAAAGCAGATATATTAAACAAAATGCACACTAATAAACAGTTTTCTAAAGTAAATTAGTTTTAAAAGTGTAAAGTATTTTGAAACAAAGTTCTTGTAAGGGGAAGACTTACTTTATGGGTTGAGATGGCTTCTTTTAAGAAACTAAGGACCTCTCCACCCCAAATAAGTAATTCATTTTAAAGCTTCAAATTTATATGCCAAATAGCATAACTCCTACTATGTCTAATTATTTAAAGAGACATTTATGTAACCTGGGCATTAGAATTTTAAGTAAGTGAATACTTTCTATTTCTTTATTTAGTTATTTTCAAAAGCTTATCTCTTTTCTTCTAAGCTTTTGATCCATCAGGGAATCTTAGGTCTGTTACTATAAAAAAAAAATTTTTTTAATTTTAAAAAGTCCTAAATGATTCTATTTTAAATGTACAGGTTTCCATATATTTTTTTAAAAGTCTAATACATGAGCAACATCTAGACGACAATATCCTGAAAAATATATTGAATTCATGAATAGTCTTTTTTTCCTTGAAGAAACTAAAAAAGTGATACAGTAAGGGATTGATATACTTCAAGTAATATAAAATAGCAGAATGTGTGAGCTGTACTTACGAAACAAACTTTCCTACTTCCACTTGCAGTATTGGGTCTCGTAGATGCATTTCTAGAAGCAAATCTTCCGCTTGAGCTGCATCTCCTGTTTTTACAGGATGGGGGTTAAAGATCCGTAGGTAACCCATAAAGCTACCCACAATTATTTTATCTGTAGAGAGATTTTAAAAAGAGAGAGAGAGATAGATAGGAAGAAACAAACATTAGCAACAAAATTTATTTGGAAATAAACTTTCCAATGTCAAAAGAAAAATCTAAAAATTTAAAGAATTGAATCTGGCTTCATATACAAAACCCAATCTACCAGTAGATATAATTAAAGTGAACTTATTTTAGTAACATATAGTTTTTCAAATATAGCTTTACATTTACCAATATTCAAATGTACTAACATATTACATTCTTCCCTGAGCCTTGATTTGGTACCAGTAGTCATAATTTAACTCAGTCAAAACAAGCTCTTTTATCAAAGGACTAGTATAAGGTTGTAAACTCATTTAATCAGACTGTCAACTCCACAGCTGGTTGTGGCTGCTGAAAATGCTTTATTAAAAAGGATTCTGAGGGACCGGCTGAGTGACTCAGTTGGTTAAGAGTGTGCGCGCTGAGCAACAGGGTCACCAGTTCTATTCCCACATGGGTTGCTGAGCTGCCAACAGGTGGCAAGATGGCTTAGTTGGTGAGAGCACATCCTAACAAGGTTGCTGGTTCAACTCCCACATGGGATGGTAGAATACGCCCACCCGCAACTAAGACTGAACAGGGCACCTTGAGCTGAGCTGCCCTGAGCTGCCTATGGGCAGCCAGATGGCGACTGGACTTGGGAGCTGAGCTAGCTGCGCCCTCCACAACTAAGATTGAAGGACAACAACGTGGCTGTTCCCCTTCCCCAATTTCCCAATAAAATCTTTTTTAAAAAATTATTACAGTAAAAGACACATTGCCATTAATCCCCCTTAAAATATATCCCCTCGCTTCAAACACAATTACTCCATTATCCTTGCCAATTTCTGAAGCAGTTCTGGAAGTCCTCTTTCATGAGTGTCTTTAGTTGTGCTGTCGTGACCGCCTCGGTATCCTGAACCAATTCAAAACATTTACCTTTCATGGTCATTTTGACTTTGAGGAAGAGCCAGAAGTCACACGGTGCCAGACCCGGTGAATACGGTAGATAAAGACACACCGTAATGTTTTTATGTGACAGAAATTCCCATACCAGAAGTGATGTGTGACACGATCGTTGTCATGATAGAGGATGAAGTAAAGACACTCACAAAAGAGGACTTCCAGAACTGCTTCAGAAAGTGGCAAGAAAGATGGGATAAGTGTGTTCGAAGCGAGGGGGAGTATTTTGAGGGAGATTAATTGCAATGTGTCTTTTACTGTAATAATTTTTGTTTAATTTAAACACTCGCAGTATCTTTTGCTCACACCTTGTATTATTGACTACCCTTCCCAAACCTCCCCCTTCAATGCTCGTGTTTCCCAGGTTATAGTCAAAAGGTTCCTTCCTTCTTAGTCCACCTTCTCTGTACATTTTCACTCATTTTAAGGGCCTCAAATACAAGCAGCATCCTGCTCTCTCCCAAATCTCTCTCTATTCTGCCTACTAGACACTTCTGTCTCAATCAGAGCATATCCCAAACTGCTCTCATTAACCCTCCACTCCATGAGACCAACAGTAACAATTCTTTAACTTTGGAGCTTGTGAAAAATGCAAATCCCTAAGCCCCCCTTCAATCCACCAACCCTTCCCCCCCGAGAGTATATGCTCTTACAGGATCTTGTACATCTAGGATAGGAAATCTTCCCACATAATAATCACCCCGGGATAGTGTGATGCAGGTGGTCAAGGCTTTGAGAAATAAGGACCAGTGGTTTTTTCCACATGGGACACACACACAGGATTTGTAGAGCATGCTTGGAAAAACAGAGGAAACCGCTCACGGCTGGCCAGGAACTGGGAGGGGGCAACATTTCAGCGTATTGGTAACCCACAGGTGGCACCTCAGTGAGGAGCTCTAATAGAAATGATGAGTGAACAGCATGTTACTCAGTCATTCAGTAAGTACAGTTTCCAACCAAGTTGAGCTTTAGATAGCTCGAGCAGAAGAGGGCTTGAAATTGTTCTCTCTGGTAGGTATTTTTGTGGCATGACTCTTTTTTTAAAAGATTTTTATTAAAATATAGCTAACATACAATATTATATTTGTTTCTTATTCCCAAATAATAGGAGAATGAAGTTTGAACGAACAGAGGGGAGGCAGCGTTGACCATCTTTGAGCGGCCTCCCAGGACATTCTCAGAAGAGAAGGCCTTCCCCTCCTATCAGTGGGAAGGCAGGGCCCAGATTTTCCTTAGTAGGTGCTCAGTACACTGCAGTGCCTCCCACTCTTCCTTGCCTACATAATTTTCTCCTTTCACGTTGTCCCCCGAATTGTACTGTTTTCATTATAGGCAAGAAAAACAGAATAAAGAAAAATATAAGGGGACAATACTTATATACACTGAACAAAAGAATGATTCTACTGTAATAAGCATTCTTTAACGGACCAATGACTATCTGGATTATCAAACAAAAAACTCATGACTATAAATCATTAAACCGAATACAAATTTCAAATAGCAGTGATATAGAACTAAAATATTCGAAAGACCACTTTTAAAAATATGAAGATGCAAAGAGGAGCAAATAATACAAGAATAAGATAGAATGTTCATTCTAGTATCATAATATGAAAATGAAAGCAGTGATTTAACAATTGTTTTCTACCAACAAACAGAGCTAACATAATTTCTCCATTCTTGTATAACTGGCTTTCAAATTCAATTTAAAACGAATGTAATTTTTCTTTCAAATAATTTCTAAAAAAGAAAATTTTTCAAAATTCAAAATAGTTTACTAGCTCTACACTAATTTTGCAACAAATTAAATGGTGCCTTATAATATTTTTCTGAGTTCCATCAAATAAAATGACAGGATCAAAACAAACCAGAAAAAACACAAACAACTAAACGAGTCAGAATTATATTTATCTGTGTGCTACCTCAATATCACTTATCAGGAAAAGTACCTTCAAAATTAGGACAAAATTATGACAGTTCGCTCAAGTTCTATAAAGTACACATTTAAAAAGGACATCATTTGGGCCGGCCGAGTGGCTCGTTGGTTAGGAGTTGGCTTGAGAGTGCCAGCTCTGAGCAGCAGGGCCCCGGTTCGGATCCCACATGAGGGCCAGTGACTTTGCGCCCTCTACAGCTAAGATGGTGAACAACAGCTCGACCTGGAGCTGGGCTGCTGTGAGTCACCAGTGATGGCGTAGGCTGCAGTGGGGCTGCAGTGGGCTGCCATAAGCTACTGTGAGTGGCCGGCAGCCAGCATGAGCGGCTGTGAGCTGCCATGAGTTGCCGTCCAATGGCCAGTGAGCGACTGCCTCACCTGGGAAGAGTGCAATAACAATAATACAAACATGGGCCAGTGAAGCAACGTCCTCCACAACTAGACTGAAGAAAAGGAAAGCAACTTGTCTGTTCCCCTTCCCCGGTTCCCCAATGCTGTTTCCCTCCCCCAATTCCCCAATAACATCTTTTTTTAAAATAAATTAAATTAAATTAAAAAATAGAAAGGACATCGTTTTGATTTCATCTCTGTAAAGATTTGCTCCAAGGTGCATGGTCATATGTTACTTACCTTGTCCACTTCCTGTATTGTCAACATCACCCAAACACAAACAGCCTTGATCAAATTCTTCTTTTTCTCCCAGAATGGTAGACCACCAATCACGGGCTTTAAATAAAGACATTTTCGTTCACTCTAAAAAGAAAACATGTATTTATAATAAAAATTCACTTCACACCATGAATTGTGAATTAATTATCTCTTAAGGCATGACAAATTAAACATGGAAAACTTTGAGAAAAACATTTCTGATTTTAACTTTAATTTTTTTGTGTCTTGTCGGTGTATGTGAAACTATAAACCCAATTGGCAAAAACATTAATCAGAGATTTTGGAATGACCAAGACTCAAATTCTACCAGCACCAGTTAACACATAATTCCTTAGCAAAATACCTAATTTCCCTTCAGTTTGGTCATTGGGAAGGCTGCAGCATCTCCTGTCACAATGAGTTTCTGACAGGAGCAGATGAGATCAAATGCATCAAATGACTGACCCCGGAACACAAGAAGGCAGAGAGAAGGGCTGGGCTTGACATCAGCGGGGAACACATGCATCCAGGGACTCGAATTGTTTGCCACTCTGCACATGACTGTGAATGACCCCAAAAACACCATAAGTATGGATTTGGGGATCACAAATAAATGTTGGTGAGTGGACAAACCCACAAATATGGAATCTGCAAATAATGAGGATCAACTGTGCTTTTGAAAAATGTAGATTCATCTGCTTCTTAAATGAGGCCTTCCACTTAGGCTAACCACAGACACCAAGGCCACTTGTAGCCGTAGGGTTGGCCATAAAGTTAGCTGAGAAGAATGCGGTGGTGAAAAGTGCAGACCCTGGAGGCAGTCGGTTGAGTCTGCGTCCCTGCTCCACAAGCAACCAGGGGCCAGGCTACTCCAAGTTACTGAACTGCTCTCTACTTCAGCTTCCTCTTCTATAAAATCAAGGTCAGAATGGTGTTGTGACGCTTAAAGAACACAGTAAAGGCAACCTATAGAATGGGGAAAAAAATCTTTGCAAATCATATACCTGGTAAAGGCTTTATACAGAATATATAAAGCACATGTACAACTCAAAAAAAAATTTAACAAGCAAAGGACTTAAATAGACATTTCTCCAAAGGAGATATACAAGTGGCCAATAGGCCCATAAAGAGATGTTCAACATCTAATCATTAGAATACAAATCAAAGCCACATTGAGATACCACCTCACACCCATTAGGATGGTTATTACAAAAAAACAAACAAGGGCCAGCTCAGTGGCATGCTGGTTAAGAGCTGGCTTGGGACGCCAGCTCTGAGCAGCAGGGCCCCGGTTCAGATCCCACATATGAGGGCCAGTGACACTGCCCTCTATAGCTAAGATGCTGAACAACAGCTCCATGATAGAGGATGAAGTAAAGACACTCACAAAAG